TATTATTATAATAGTATATAAATCCAAAAGTAGAAAGTTATGGGGGGATTAATATATTAATTTAATTCATGCAATGTACCTTGCTCCAAAGCTAAATTGATAGTGTTTAAAAAAAATAATCCCATTCAACCTGATCAAAAGCTTTTTCAGTATCTGAGAGCAAAAGACCACAGGGCTTGTTTTGTCTCTTAGTGTTATGAATCACATTTAATGCCTTATACACATTTGTTGTTAACTTGCACTTCTTAATAAAACTGTCATGGACTGGCTGGAAGCAGACGCATGGTGGGAGGCACCAGCTGGTGACCCCCCCAAGGAACCACCAGGGGAAGAAGGCTCAGAGCCAGGGGACTGGTGGTGGGACAACAATGCTTGGTCAGAAGGAGAAGAGGGAGCAGACTGGGAGCAGGAGGTTTCAGAAGCTGAAGAGGCAACAGGGTTTAGTGAGCAGGAAGAGGCTGGGGCAGAATCCAGCCTGCCAAATAATCCAGGGAGTCTCCCCCTCCTGCTGAAATCAGCTCCCATCCCCACTGGTCTTCCAAAACATGCAGATAAATTAAGAGGGTGGATCAACAAGATACTCACAGCTGTCCATGGAGGCACAGGTCAAATCTGTATCCAGGGCAGCTGTTTACCAGCTCCATCTGGTACGTAGGCTGAGACCCTATCTGCCTGCGGACTGTCTCGCCAGAGTGGTACATGCTCTGGTTATCTCCCGCTTGGACTACTGCAATGCGCTCTACGTGGGGCTACTTTGAAGGTGACCCGGAAACTACAACTAATCCAGAATGCAGCAGCTAGACTGGTGACTGGGTGCGGCCGCCGAGACCATATAACACCGGTCTTGAAAGACCTACATTGGCTCCCAGTAAGTTTCGAGCACAATTCAAAGTGTTGGTGCTGACCTTTAAAGCCCTAAACGGCCTTGGTCCAGTATATCTGAAGGAGCGTCTCCACCCCCATCGTTCTGCCTGGACACTGAGGTCCAGCTCCGAGGGCCTTCTGGCGGTTCCCTCACTACGAGAGGTCAAGTTACAGGGAACCAGGCAGAGGCCTTCTCGTAGTGGCGCCCGTCCTGTGGAACGCCCTCCCATCAGATGTCAAAGCGATAAACAACTACCTGACATTCAGAAGACATCTGAAGCAGCCCTGTTCAGGGAAGTTTTTAATATGTGACATTTTAGTGTATTTTTTATCTTTGTTGAAAGCCGCCCAGAGTGGCTGGGGAAACCCAGCCAGATGGGCGGGGTACAAATAATAAATTATTATTATTATTATTATTATTATTATTATTATTATTATTATTATACAAGACAACAGAGGCTTAGGCTGCTGGGGAGGGAACCAGGAGAGGAGCCTTAGAGAGCAGTGGGAAGGCGGGGACCTTCAGTCCTCGCAACTGCTTCACTGGGGAAAGACCTGCTGGAAGGGTTGCTGTGACCACTAGGACTGAGCTGTTTTTGTTTCTTTAAATAAAGAGTTAACTTCACTGACAACGGGTGCTCAATTGTTTTATTGCTGGCCTATGCCTGACTTTGGCTTCTGGCAATACCCTTACTAATCTTCAGTTATTTATCCTTCAATCTTTTGGCCAGATTATTTCTTCCCAGCTTGAAATTTTGATTTAATAATGCTATAACTCTGTAAAATTCTGGATAGATCTTTATCTACTTTAGGATCAGAATAATTTTTGCCTCCTCCTATGTTTTACGACTTTATAAGCTGACATGACAGAGTTAATTGTATTTAACATGAAGTCTGCTAATAAGGTCAAAATACTTGTAATATTCAGTTGTAGAATCATGTGCCTGATTGTTTCTCAAACCCTTCACCACTAGTGTTAGCTCTTGAAGGCTATATCATTCACAGCTAAATGAGACCGCTTTAATTTTCTCAAACATTTGCATCTTCCTCATGTTTGAATATTCTAATGAATACAGTTTAGCATAAACTTCTTTAAACCTATATACTATGTCATTGGAATCTGAAATATCCTTTTTTGTACTGCATTAGGGTGTGTTTAATTTTTCAACTTTCAAATGATGGGTGTTAAAAAGCTGTAACATGACTTGGGAATTCAAAAGATATTTTGGTAAAATCAATATAATTTTGTTTTGCTTGGTAAATACTGCATTAAAATATTGACTTTTATCTTTTTGTGGAATTTCCAATAATTCTAAACCTGTCTTATTTTTAAAAAAATTGTGGGGAAATGTGTGGAAAGCATTGTTTGCATGTACTAACCCTGCTGGTTTAGCGTCAAATAAAAGGTTCAACATAAAATAAAACACTAACCTTACCTTGACTGGAACATAAGATTAAATAACCATGAACTCTGCACAGCCAAGCTGCCAATACTGCTACACCCTTAAATCAAAATGTGTTAAAGAAACACATACACACATATCCAAATCAGAGATAGAATCATAGAAATGTAGAACTGGAAGGGACCCTGAGGGTCATCTAGTCTAACCCCCTGCAATGCAGGAATCTCAGCTAAAATATCCATGACAGATGATTATCCAACCTCTGCTGAAAAACCTCCAGAGATGGAGAGCCATCACCTTCTGAGTGAGTACATTCCACTGTTGAACAGCTCTTTCTTGTAACTTGAATCCATTGGTTTGAGTCCTACCCTCCAGAGCAGGAGAAAACAAGATTGCTCCATCTTCCACGTGGCAGCCCATTAGATACTGTAATTATTTTAAAGAATACCTAAAGGGACTAGAGTAACAGTAGTTATAGAATTGTTTAAAATTGTGAACTCATTAGAATATGAATTCATAGAATTGCAAAATTACATTTCCTATAAATAAAGCTTCAATTAAATAGATAATCAGTAAAGTCAATAACAATTCATAGTCCATAGATCATCAAGTAAAATTCATTAATAGCAAAGTTCTATATTTTATAAGTTTATATTTAAAAGGAAGTTGTAGTTTATAATTAATATGTGGTGAGTTGATATTTCTAAGCT